CTTCTTTATCATCACGGTCTGGTTTCTTCAAGTCGAGAACGAATGCAATTTTGTCAGGAGATTGGAAGAGAATGAGCTGGCCTTTGAATGCAGGAAGTAGGAGACTTGCTAGTTGGTGATTCAGCGCTTTTATCCGAGTGGCAACGTTGCCTTCCACACAATCACGATGTGTGGCTACAATGATAAGACGGAAAGCCTTGTTTTGGGATTTCTTAGCGTGCAACGTGGATGCAAGCTTCAGGATTACGTCCCTGCTAGTGTAATGAGACTGAAACTGGCGTTTGTAGCACTCTCCTTGCTCATGGCGATCTACTGGAGGGCGTTCATCTAGACCGTACCGCAAATCAACTAGAACTAATGCAAGGTTGGCGTTGTGTATGAGAGACGGCATGACTTCCATGAGTTCGGGCTGACCTCCTGTGTCTATCATGTGGACCAGCTCCAGTATCAGATCCTTTGGAAGACTTTTTGGTGTGGCTGTCGTGACCAGTGGGAATATTTCCTGACACGATGGACTTTCTTCATGCAGTTGAGGGGATGTACGAACCAAAGGAGTGGCCTCTTCTTGCAATGTAACTATTCGAGTGGAACTCAGTAAGGGGTCTAGTGGCTTGGCACTTTGTACATTCAGATCACGCATTAGACAGGAGGCAAGCTTATCGACATCAGATTTTCTCATTCCAGCTTGGATTAAAGGGGCAAGAAACTCACGAATGTCCTTGTACGAAAGACGTTGCCAAACACCAGCTGATAGGCGCAAAATGTGGTGAAGGAAGCCTCGAATTGACTGCTCGGCAACACCGGTGCTGGTATAGAGGTCGGGAGGTGCCAGGCCAAAGAGACGGGAGAGGAGAGTGGTCTTCCCTGCTCCCATTAGACCAGTGATGACTCCCACCACATTCCGCTGCTGCAGACTACCTAACTCCATTGCCTCATCAATTAGTTGTTGAGCTCTCTCGTCAGTCATGACCTGGAATAGGAGGGGAGAGAGTAAAGCATATCACTCTTCGTGCATTTAACTATTGCGGCATCTCTTTTTCAACAAGAATGCGAAATGAACCCCGAAAAGACTGGCTTGAAGCTGAATCATCTCACCTGGATCTTGGGAAGTGACTGTACCAGTTCACGTTTGTTCCTCTCACTCCCTTCATCTCTAACAACAGCTCTGGCCTCGTCCAACAGACGCAGCACCTCATGAATACCTGGCCTCTTGGATGGGAGATTGTGCAGGCATTGCAGGATCAGCCGAATGAGAGGGTGGTCCCCACGGAGCTGGCCACAGGCACGGAGTTGCTCGTTCACATGTTGCATGTATTCAACACGTCGTTGTAGTTTAGTGCAACCTAACAGCCCTTCATTGTTTCGAAAGTAGGTGTGCCCTAGACGATCACAGGGGAAGACTTCACCGATTGTGAAAATGGTGATAACTCCAAGAGAGAAAACATCGATAGTGGAACCATATTTTGACTTTTCAATAGAGCCCACTGGTGGTATGATAAATGAGGTCATAGCTCCATCAATGAAACCGACACTGCATTTGGGCCTTTCAAAAGAGACCTCTGGTGGTATGTATATTGGGGCCCGAGTCATGACCGTACCACTCAAACGTACAATACGAGCCACGCCCAGGTCTATCTTGGCCACCATCTCCGAGTCCAGGAGAACGTTTCTGGCCGACAAGTCGCCGTGGATGACGGGCGGCGATCGCTCGTGGAGGTAGGCTAGGCCACACGCTACGTTGTGCAGTACGGAGCACTTTAGAGCCATGGAGAAGAAAGATAGCGGTGTGATGGCGCCTGACGGAGGGGGCGGGTCCGGAGCCAGCAAGTCTTGAAGACTCGTCAGCAGTCGCTCCATGACGAGGGCTGGGAGTCGCGATCCGGGAAAGAAAGCGACTCCCAGAAACTGGACGATGTTAGGATGGCGGAGGGTGCTCATCAGCTGACATTCCCTCACTAACTGCGCTTTTACGACCGTGCCCTTGACACGGTGGTGCCGGATAATGCCCGCGGGAATGTCCGCGTAGTAATCGATGAAGAATTTGTGGAACTCTTTCGCGGCACAGATGGCTCCAGGCACGGCCACTTCCCATACAGTGCCGAAGGCTCCGCTGCCAATCTTGATGCCAGTCTTTCGCACATCGGGTAGCTCAAAGTGCTTCAGTTCAGGAATCTGTTCAGCCATAATTTATGTTGCTGGTAGCGGGCGTTGGCAAGGCAACGAAATCCTCGTGATTTTTTTCATTAATAATAGTCATCCTCCATTTGAAGTCGAACGGTTCCTTGCAACAACTTTCCTTTAATTCGCCTGATTGTAGTTCTGTTGAGCTGGACGCAAGAGAGGCTCAGCTCAGGATAATGACAGACACCTCTAATTGGTCTTGCCTTCATCATCAGGCATGATCAGTTTTCTCGATCAGTTTTTCTTTGGTTTCCCAACCCCACCCAAAACAATGCGCATGCGTATCATGTCACTGCAAAATGCAACATCTCACCACTGAATGAAAGTTATAAATACTGTTATTCACAATCGTTTGATGGCATTGGGGATGTTGTGGAGTGTCTCAGTATACTAACGTGAGGATTGCAGTATTCTCTAGTAAAACATTGTAATCTTCAGTATTCTTCCTGTTCGTCGTCATACTCATACTTGGGCTGACCGGCTTCGTGTGCATATGCATCATCACCATACGGTACTTCATCTGGGGAGAGGGAGGGGGTAAGATGGAGGGAGCACGAGGAGAGGAAGTGAGGCAACTTTGATCAGCGGTATATAATATATACCTGCCTGATACTTGGTGCTATAAGTGTTCAATGCTAAAGACTTTGAGCCTCAAATAAAAAATCATGTGCAGGCTTTAGACGATAGACACAGATAGATAGGGTATGCTAAACCTGGAGGCTAACACTATTATAAAATGAAAAGCACTAAAGTGCAAACCCTCGGCGAACTGCGCATGCGCGATACTGCAAATTGATGGGCTGGGCCGGCTATTTGTATGCGTTTACTCGTGGTCTTCCGCTAGTAGCCCGCGGAGAGTCAGACACGGGCTAGCTACAGTAGTAGATAGCATGCGGGAGTCGATATATGCCATTCGTTGTGACTTCCTGAGCCCCCAAGGTACACAGAGCGAGCGGATCAGGTCGCGGTAAGCCAGTGCGATTTGGCTTTTTCGCTTGTTTTCACGGCATATCTCTCGAACGAAGTCGTTTCAAGAAAATCGCCTTTTTAGTTTTCAGGCTCGCGTAGTTCTGAATCTGCTGGGCCGCCTCGTAGCCTGTAGTGCCAGAATAAGCGTCGACACACAGACAGACAGACAGATAGACAGACAGACAAACCAACTACCGTAACCCTCGCTGCGCATGCACGCCGAGGGTTAATTACTGCTCCAGGGTATCAGGCAAGTACTGCTAATAGAATGTGCGTGATAAGGTTGTTTTCTCAGAGTCTCACATGACAAATTTCATAAGTACACTTACCGCCTACAATTCCTTCTTCTGCTCCTTGACCTTCGAACCCTTCCTGTAACACGAGAGCAGCAAATATTAGTCCATTGTCCACAGTTATCACTGTCCCTTCACAGTGGAACCTCCAAAAAGGGACACACCTCTAGTCTTCACGTTCCCTCTATACAACCCCCTATCTCTATCATAATTATTATGACCTTTATTCAAAGGTGTCTATTTTTCAGAGGAACATTGAAAGTGTAAGCTGGACTAACTTAACCCTTTGGACACCATGGGTATCTCCTTAAATAACCAAGAAATTGATGTATAAAGTATTAGTGCCTAGTATTATGACCCCATAAAAATTCTCATGGACTTACAGAGGCTCTGGGCACATTTATGTTAAGAGGTGTCCCCGTTAATTAATGTCCCTCCATCATCTGTCAAATAGGAGGATGGGGAGAGGGAGAGATGGACAATAGGTCATATTCTTCTTCACATTCTTTCAGTATACGTATAAACACACTAAAAATCAGCACCATTTTCGGGCAAATGGCTAAGCCAAGCGAACGGGGTGAGCCGGCCAACTGAGAAGAGTGAAACTTACCTGTCCTTGCTGCGGCCTCTGGTGCAGTGATGCCCCCCTCGCTCGCTGACGCGTGCTCTGAACTCCCGCTCACTTGGGTTACCGCCGTGTTCTCCGCCTCTGTTGCCATGCTCTCTTCACAAGACTGACCCGTCTTCCTGTGGGTGGTTCAGCTTTATACAATCAGCCACGCCCACACAAGCTAGCTACTACTGCGCATGCGCTAACAATCTGCGGTCATCCTCAGCACATAAAAATTAATTTCTCAGTGTACAACAGAATAAATTGCATTGTCAGACAGTTGTAAGGAAACACTCGCATATGCTTCGTTCTCTTTCAGATTCACGTTTTGATATGTAGCAGGCTTCATAACAGCAACTTTTCTGTGCCTGAAAAAAGATGAAAGTTCGTGTTCATTGCATAGCTAACTCTGGAATTTAATCCCAGGGACAAGTACTTAGGTGTATTGCGAGCTACTGGACTCCATTTATGCACACATGCCTCACCTGGTGTGCAGAATGAAGGCAATAAACAGAGTTCCAAGAAGCAGCAGAAGTAGAAACAGAACTGCAACTGCTAAACCAAATCCAACCATAACCCCCTGAGCTCCCTGCTGACTGTTGCCACTGTCATCAGTATATGAGTATACTGGATGTGCAGAAGAGGGTGTGGTAGGAGGTGCTGGATATGTGGAGGAATGACAGAGACAGAGAGGCCTTGGTTTAATGAGAGCTACAGTCACTGGCAGTGAGAATATTCCACCACCAACACCTGTCACAGCCTGCACCTGGTACATTAACAGAGAGAGAGTGTGTCAACAATAGCAGCTTTGAGAATATTGAAACAATTCTGCGGGCAAGTTTTGAATCGATGTCCATGCAACTCTATACACGCAGTAATAAGTAATGTTCCAACTTTTTAACCAATTTAATTACATCTGTATGACAGTGATGAAGTGCTTCTCTCAAACCTTAATGTTAAAGATTCCACCAACATCTCCACAACATTGATACAGGTCGATACAAGTATCATTCAACTCATCGTATATTCTGGCCACCAGTTCCCCAGAGTGGGGTGACGACGATATGATGACATTGTAGTAGAGAATGAGTCCATTGGGAGGAACTGGAGGAGACCAGCTCAGCACTCCGTTCTCTCCCACCACAAACTCCGTCACTGTCCCTCCAACTGCAGTGGTGTTACATAGGTCTTACTATAATTATAATATTGTAATGTGAAGATTATCAAAGATTCTCGAGTCATACTCGGCTAACTAATCATAAAATGTGCCCTCCCTATTTCTGTATACTGTTTATTTAGACAGACTATAGCTATATTATAGCTTGATTACATTATCATTTATTCTCCTCCTGAGTCCACTAAAAATGGTAAGCTTTTGCAAGTAAAACAACAGTCTTCGAACATGAAACAACTTGCTATATCAAAAAGTTACTTGTTACTTTGCAGCTTGTTTCTAGCGTGTGTGAGGAACTTAATACACGGCTCAAAACAAACACACACTTCCCAAAAACCGTGAGAGACATGTGTTCTCTCTTGTGGATTTTCTAAAAACAAGGTGTTTTCGACCAACCTCCCTCCTCGATAGTGGCAGTGGTACTCAGAGTTCTGCCATTGATATCGTTGTCCTGAGAGGAGACATGATTCTCGGCAGATAGCTACAGAGAATGTGTAGAGGACACCAGGAGTCAGTCCAGTCACAATGGTCTCTGTATCATTCACCTCTGATAGCACAACTGTCACTCCTTCACTGCTGTTGGAATCTGAATGACATTCACATGCATGTTTGCATTTTAGAAAGATCACGTTAAGTCCCAGTAGGGATTAGTTTAGTCGTCAGTGCATCTACTCACCCATGGCAGTAATGGTGTACAGAATCTCATAGAGAGGTCTCCCTCCACTATCATTAGGAGGAGACCAGGAGAGGACAGCTGATGTGTTAGTCACATTTGACACTCTGAAATCAGACGGAGGTCCTGGAGACTCTGTGTGATTCATGCGGTTTAAACAGAAACCTTTCGAAACAAGTGCAGTGAGGACTTACGTGTACAGGGGACAGACGGCCCCTCATAAGGAGCTCTGTAGTTGTCCTGGAGACATGGACAGAGGCTCAGAGCAGTTCCAGTCCCCTCACTGTTAGCTGGACATGTCTCACATGGTCCATTGCCGAGTCCTGATGAGAAGGTTCCCTCTGGGCATTCTGAAAGAGGATATTGAAAATTGAAACAGTGTAACCCAGCACTAATGCACTAATGGAGAATGCCGATTCCTACCTGAGCACATATCTTGACTACTGTCCAGCTGATATCCAGGATTACAGAGACAAGGTTTTATCACCTGCCACTCTCCCCTAGCACCACATATGAGAATAGGATTAGCCCCAGACTCTGTGGAACTGTTCTCTACACACACTCTCTCCACTGAAGGTGAGCCTTCCAGAGACTGGGATTCAGGTCTGGAGATGAGCTCTGATGTCTCCTCTGGACACACATAGTAGAGAATTAGAATTCTTGTGAGAGTAACACAAGTGGTCAAGTCAACAACTCCCAAGTAAAAACCACCTGTGGTGCCCAATTCAATATCATGAGAGTCAACAAACGACATTACTCCACTAGTAACAGAGGGAGAGACTCGACCAACTCTGACATAATTGATGGTGTTAGTTGCTCCATTTCTATCAATGGCTGAAGTCTCCCACTTGTATAGTTCAAAACTCTGCCTACACTGTCTACTGATATCACATCCATTGAGAGTTCCCTCCAACTGAACAGTCACTTTCCTCAGTCTCTCTCCTCCTCCTCCTGGTAGCACTGTGTTGATGTGCTGTGTGATGAGCCAGTTCTCTTGAGCTCCCTCACTGAATCCACACACTGTCACTATCCCAGCACATGTGGCTGACGAAGTTTGAGTCCACTGGAGAGCAATTACTTTATATAACAAATTATAATAGAGGGATTGTCCTTACCTCAGTTGCAACCATGTATGTATTGTTGTTGTCTCTATCCAGGCTTTGCCATGGTACATACGCATCGCCACTTTCCTGAAGCAGGCGGTTATAGTCCCTGGAGTCCATGAGAGGTCGTTCATTAGCAGAATACACTGGGCGGTTGGCAAAGAACGGGTTCGGCTCTCCATTAACGATCTCATCGGTGCATATCGCTACACCATCCCCTGGAGCTTGATCCTGGACACAGCTCACTCGTCCGACCAACACCAGCACAAGCCACGAGACTACTGAACTCGTTCCGACTAGTGGACGAGCCATTATCTGCGAATAACAGTAATATTTCTGCCCGAGCTGCGATCTTAAACGCACCGACTTTCCGACGATTTGCGCATGCGCAATAAGGAAGCGCAGCAGCACAACCCGAGACTCTGTCTACTGGACCTCGACAGAAGGAAGTTTCTCATCTAAAAACCTTTCTTTGGACATGTCATCTATAAACCTTTCCGTGGACAAATGCTAGAAACCCAAAAACCTTTCTTGTGACATTCCTGAAACCACAAGAAAACTTTTTCTCTCTCTCTAAAACAATTTGAGTCCAGTTCGAGAGTTAATTCAGTTTCTTTTGGAGGTAGAGAGGGCCAACGTTAAGACGATCGTCCGAGTTACACTGCTGCTGGAACTGCAGACTCACTTCTCTCATCACCTTACTGGCAATAATCTGAAACGGTTGGTCTTTCTCGTCCCACAGTGCCTTGGCCAGTTTCGGCATCCACAGACTCCCCGCCTCGCCACCCCACGAGACGTGGTGGGGGACGGTGGCATAGGCAATGTAGTAGTTTCCCTCTATACGCCGAGGGAGCTTTTTCACAAAGTTGGCACTGGGAGCACTTTTAGTCTGGGCTGCGGCACCACCACACCCAACTCCTTTCTCAGAGAGTGTCTGAGCTCCGCGACATGCGTCGACCAGGAATAATTTCGGGACGTACTGAACGCCGGGAGGTACGGTGAGAAAGTAAACGATGTCTTTCAGTTGAACGGTTTCGCCGTCGTTGGCATAGATTTTCTCGATGCCGTCCTCGGTCGTCCCGTGCCCGGAAAAGGCAAAGAAGACGACCTTTTCTTCCGCCTCTTCTCGGCTCAGACTACAAGTCTTGAGCGATGCGGAAACCTCTTTTATCTTGGCTAGTATTTGGGCCCTGGTTGGATTGTCGAGCTGGTGGATGACGTAGTTTAGACGGTCGAAGGTTTCCATCATCGCTGCGGCGTCTTTAGCGGTACCGCGAAGTGGAGTCATGTCGGGATTGTCGCAGTTCTCGTACGTGCAGTTGATGAGAATGGCAAGGCCTGGGCTGTCGGCAAGGGTGGTGCCTGGGTATAAATAAAAGGGAGGTTTACTATAGTTGCAGAAAATGGAAGTCCATGTGTGTAGAGTATTGATTCAGAGTATATAGCGTACCTTTTGGTCCTTTAGGTCCACCTGTAGAATTGTAAGAGAACTAATCAAACTGTTGATAAATACTGTTGTATGTAGATAGGTTGTAAGAGAATTAATCAAACTGTAGCCAGACGCACACACACATTTGTGTATACCTATATACCACAGGTCTTCACAGGCAGTGATAAATACTTCCTTTATTGTGTGAGCTTACTATGGTGTTTATGGTGTTTGTGAGGCTTCTGAACAGCTATTTTTGTTAGAGTAAATTTCTGTGTTTACCTCGACTCCCTCGAGAACTGGGTACCACTGGTGGAGGAGTGACCGCTGCACAGAGAAATAAAATTATTATGGCGAATTGATGGGTATAATTAATGGTCCTTAGAAAATCGAATTAGGCTGATAATAGCTATAATAATAAATATTTCTCCAATACTGAACCAATCTGGGTATGCATAACTCGTGGTGTTGGATTGGTTCCACTTACGCTGAGGTCTCAGCAATTCGCAGACTTTCTCAGCTTCACTTCTCTTCCTCGCCTTTACCATGGCGGTGATCATCGCACGGTACGTCGCCTCGCTGCCAGTCTCCTCCCACTTGTCTATGAGCATCCCTCTCTTGTCTTGCTGGTACTGTCCATCGTGTCGTATGTCCTTCATATCCTGTCTGGTTACCCCCTTCAGGTAGGGACCGACGCTATCCCACGAGATCAATCTGCTGATGGCCGTCAGATGCTCGTCTTCGCATTTTTTATCGCGTTCCGCGTCCGTCAGGCCGTAGCGCTGCTGGAGGCCTTTGATGTCAGCCATTCGTTAGGTGCTACCTCTGCAAGGAGCACAGTAGAAGCCAAAGCCTTCGACTTTAGCTATCTAAGGATAAGAGAGAGTTCGCTAGTGACGTAGATACCGTACGTAGCTACCGTAAGTAATACCTGTACACTGCAGGACCTGAACACTGGCAGGGACGGACAAGCGACACACGCGGTCATCGCGCGGAAGTCCAGCCCCCGCGTCTTGCATGCAAGGTGCGCGCCGTGTAAGCGCGCATGCGCACAACTGGCCCAGCCGCGCGCGCGGTTGCATTACACGGCTAGCTACGTACGTATATATACCGGTTACCGCGCCTGCAAAACAGTTCACGAGTATTTCAGTTTATGTGTTGTATTCTAGTCGGTCTGTAGCTAAATATCCTCTTTTATATGCACACCATGCATGGCTAGTTCGAGAGTTAACTCAGTTTCTTTTGGAGGTATATATATAGAGAGGGCCAACGAACCCAACCACACTTTCTGCGATGGATCGGTCTAGAGAAGATGCCCTTCGTCGTCGACGAGAAAGGGAAAGAGAACGTCGTGCCAGTGAGACTTCTGAGCAAAGAGAGGCTCGTCTTTCTCGACGGCGACTGCGTGATAGGGAACAGGCAAGGCAACGCCTGGCTACGGAAACAGCGGAAGAAAGGGAAGAATGAGCATCCCTCTCTTGTCTTGCTGGGACTCTCCGTCTTTTCGTATGTCCTTCATATCCTGTCTGGTTACGCCCTTCAGGTAGGGACCGACGCTATCCCACGAGATGAATCTGCTGATGGCCGTCAGATGCTCGTCTTTACCGAGTTCCTCGTCGGCGCCGGTCACAGCCATGCATGTATATAGAGCTACCAAAGCATTAGCTAACTGGTGATGTGTGCCGGCTTTCCTACTCTCAAAAAGGCGGAGAGAGCGGCCGGGAGTCAAAAGTAAAAGTCAAAAATGCATTTGCCCTGAGTTTGCAGGATAAAGGAGAGGGGAGGAAAGAAAAAGTGAACAATGGAGTTAATGATGCCAGTGTGATCTAAAACTTAATTATGTAGTGATTTACCACAAATAAAATAAAGAATCTGAACAGTGGACACAGGCATTTATGAGTTTGTAGATTGAGAGTGAATGGTGGGAGAGGAAATGGGTGCAGAAAGAGTAGGCATCCAATGAGATGTTACAGTCAGGAACAGGGCACATATTGTTTGAGTGGAGACAGAGGGAGAGAAGTTTCAACACAGCTTGGATGCAAGTAGTTCCAAGACACCACGCTCTAGAGCCAGGTCCCATAACTTTGGCCAGCTTCCCTCTTGGCTGGAGGCAATCTTATGTATAATTATTGGGAGGGGTGAGAGGCAGCGTCGGACAGAAGTAGAGAGAGGTCAAGCTGCAGTATGTCCTTTTTCATTGAGGAGAGAGAGACACTGTCGGGGGATGTAAGAACAGATGTGGTGAAGTCCGACTCTAGAGTAGATTCGAGGAATCTGCATTGTCGAACTAGCTGCAAAGATTCAACGTCTGAGACAGCAAGTGAGCGCGGAAAGTTCAGGCACAGAGAGAGAGAGATCACCTGTGATGGATGACCTTAGCAGAAAGTTGTGCTTTATGATGAGAATACGGGCTCTCATTGATGGCCATTGGAGAGCTATAGGCCTATAATTGTTGATGATGCGCATGCGTTGGTGGGTGATTTTATTATTATTCTTTTTTTTTACTGAGGATAATATGAACAAGTGAAACATACAACGCAAAAGAAACTGAGGAAAAATGACTAGTAAACAGCAAGGAAAAGTTGACAGACAACAAAGAAAAACTAAAAACGCGTGCGCGTGCGCGCGCCGAGGGTTAATTTTTGATCTGAATTTTGCTTGTACAACACTGAACCATAGATACTAAGGTATAGTATCTATGACTGAACTATCTAAATGATCTACTGATGTTCACAACACAACTAACTGCTACTGCTACAAAACTAGCTACAAATTTCCAGTCTCATTGTCCATTATGTCCAATTCCGGGGGCACATTTACGTTGAAACGGTGCAGCAGCAGAAGTTCGGACCACAGCCCTGCTTGTCGACATTAACGTACCTGTACACCTTTAGACCGAGGAGGGGGTCGGCGACAGTTCCACCGGCGGAGGACGGACGGTTGGCGTACACGTGCACAGCAGCGCGTGCATACCAGACGCCGTTCTTCGTCTGCGCGTCTTGATTGCGCAACTTCTCGCTGGTACAAATATCGGTGCATGTCTGCGTGCTCGCGGAGTTGCATGCGCGTTGCACGGCGTAGGTCCATCCCCGAGGTGTTCCGATGGCGGAGCAGTATGCCTGTGCAATAATCTCTATATCAGTGCGGGTGACCTGCGAATCAGCTGCATCATCATGCTGCGGGTAAAGCTCCTGCAAGCAGAATGAGAAGGAGCACCTGTAAGTATGACATCATCACAAGTGCCAGACCTGATTCTCCTGCCCAGCATTGAAAGGGGAAATGTAGTTGGGATAGCTCCACGCCACCGTGGCACAGAAAAGAAGAATGAGAGCTGTCTTCATTGCGACACCTGAATGATCTCCAATCTCCTTGGCTTTTCCCAGTAGAAAGAGTGTGTAGATTTGCTCGATGCTCTCACTGGGACACCAAACGCCCCTTTTATACACAGCTTCTCCAGGGAACGGGTACACTTGTATGATTTTACAGATGAAAAACAGTTTCTCTTTTGCCGCACTGCACACACAGCGTGCTGTTAGTGTGTCTGTGCTCATACTAGTAGTGTGAAAGCCGTGACAAATGAAGTAGTTGGGTTTTTGAAGAATCGCCGCTTAAAGCAAATTCCCCAATCATCGTAATGATTGTGTGTGATGTCACTGCTAATGATGAAAACTGGTGAACGTCTTTCATCCCCACTGTCCAGTAGCAATACTGGCGCTAGTCCACATTCCTCAATCACCGTAATTGAATGAGTCATCACAACTACTAATGAACTCTCCTCTTCTTAATTCAGTCCATTTTAGGTTCCTCTGTAGGACAATATTGTGCTAAAAATCACAATCCTTTTGTCGGGAACTATCCACCTGTGCACTGCTAATGATGAAAGCTGGTGAACATCTTTCATCCCCACTGTCCAGTAGCAATACTGGCGCTAGTCCACATTCCTCAATCACCGTAATTGAATGGGTCATCACAACTACTAGACTCTCCTCTTCTTAACTCTGTCCATTTTAGGTTCCTTTGTAGGACAATATTGTGCTAAAAATCACAATCCTTTTGTCGGGAACTATCCACCTGTGCACTGCTACTGATGAAAGCTGGTGAACGTCCTTCATCCCCACTGTCCAGTAGCAATACTGGCGCTAGTCCACATTCCTCAATCACCGTAATTGAATGGGTCATCACAACTACTAATGAACTCTCCTCTTCTTAACTCCGTCCATTTTAGGTTCCTTTGTAGGACAATATTGTGCTAAAAATCACAATCCTTTTGTCGGGAACTATCCACCTGTGCACTGCTACTGATGAAAGCTGGTGAACATCTTTCATCCCCACTGTCCAGTAGCAATACTGGCGCTAGTCCACATTCCTCAATCACCGTAATTGAATGGGTCATCACAACTACTAATGAACTCTCCTCTTCTTAACTCCGTCCATTTTAGGTTCCTTTGTAGGACAATATTGTGCTAAAAATCACAATCCTTTTGTCGGGAACTATCCACCTGTGCACTGCTACTGATGAAAGCTGGTGAACATCTTTCATCCCCACTGTCCAGTAGCAATACTGGCGCTAGTCCACATTCCTCAATCACCGTAATTGAATGGGTCATCACAACTACTAACAAGTAGCTACGTCACTTTTTCGCTGCTGGACTCCACACGAGTTTTGTAGCTGCCGCTCTGGCTCGCTTTCTCTCCCGCTATACCCAGCGCTCTCGAATGCAGCCTGTTGCAGTAGCAAGAAAGCTGAAAGTCACATACTGTTCCAGTCTACGGGAGCCTACGCGTCGGGAAGCAGTTTTTAGCTAGTTTTCAGACCGCGTATATACTAGAACAGTTGCCGGCCATTCCAGCCTGAAAACACTCCCTTCTGGTGAAGAAACAGCAGCACACAAAGAGTGTAAAAGCCCCCTAATTGCTGCTACTATCGTATAACTACCATATACCCATTGTGGTTTATGCAAATGAGTTGACATACATCTAAAGTATGGGGAAATCGTGTGGCCTCTTTATGGTATAATGAAAAGCACTAAAGTGCAAACCCTCGGCGCTAAACGCGCGAGTTGTAGTCTCGCTAGCTGTATGCTGGCGGACGACGGAGACAGTAACACGAGTCTCCCCGTAGCACAGGGTAGTTGGTTAGAGCAATTGCTCAGGTGTTTCACAGGCTCACATATTTGCTATATTCAATCTATCCGCTCTTCTGTGCTCCCAATCTTGCCAGAGATGGGAAGGCAGGGCTGCATCCACAAACTGCTCGCCACCTGAACTATTATGCTACATTGCGAATATACCTTGCTCAGCATGTTTATCCAAAGAGAAACCTGTGGATCATACAACCAATGTGGCGTAGCGCATTCTCCGGCGAAAAATTGACATGACGCGTGCGCATGGCGCGTGCGCGATCAACCGCACGTTGGCTTTTTCGCTTGTTTTCACGCCATATCTCTGGAACGCAGTCGTTTCAGGAAAATCGCCACATTAATATCCATCTTCTCGTCGTTCACAACCCGTTGGTACCACTCATTGGCCGCCTTGTAGCCTGTAGTGCTAGAACTCGCGCGGACAGCCATGCACAGTACCACTAATTGATGGGCTGGGTTTAGTTTTAGCTGTTATACTCGCGGTCTCTTGCCAGCTCGCGCAGAGTCTGACGCGGGCTAACTACACTACTAGATAGTATGCGAGAGGCGATACACGCCCTGCGTTGCATCTTCTGGTGCCTCCGAAGTACGCAGAGCACGCGGATCGATCCGACTGTGGTAAGTCATCCCGTCCGTTGTGTATTTGCATATTGGCTTTTTCGCGCTCTAGCTTTGCAACGGAGCAGTTTCAGAGAAAACCCCACATCTTTTCTGACCTTCGTTGCCCGTTGAGTAGGTCGTATCCTTTGTGAGACGAACAAACACCCGAGAAGTGAGATTGAGAGTAACAGACAGCACACACACACACAGACAAACCCAACTACTGTAACCCTCGCTGCGCATACGCGCCGAGGGTTAATGAACTCTCCTCTTCTTAATTCCGTCCATTTTAGGTTCCTTTGACAATATTGTGCTAAAAATCACAATCCTTTTGTCGGGAACTATCCACCTGGGGTCCATTCACCATTGCAGACATTATTTAGACGCCTAGGTGCAGTATGCACTGTAGGTGATTGATCTTTGACGATGCAGGCAGAGAAGTATTTCCATCGGCTGTGATCCAGTTTTCAGCAAACCCCTATATAGCTACCTCCAGGTCTGAAGGCTGTGTCCTACCTTTTCATGTGTAAGTGTGCTGTTTGTGTCGTGTTTGTAGCTCCCAGGATGGAGGATGGGGGGGTGGGGCTCCACCTCGACCTGATCCGCTTGCTCTGTGTACCTTCGAGGCACAAGAAGCCACAGCGAAGGGCGTGTATCGACTCCCGCATGCTATCTACTACCGTAGCTAACCCGTGTCAGATTCTCCGCGGGTAAACGCCAATAGCCCAGCCCAGCCCAACATTAGCGATACCGCTCACGTCGAGGGTTTGCACTTCAGTCATTAACCATCGGCGCGCATGCGCAGCGTGGGTACGGTTTGTCTGTCTGTCTGTCTGTGTGTCTCGACGCTTATTCTGGCACTACAGGCTACGAGGCGGTCCATTAGCGATACCAGCGGCTTCAGAACTACGCGAGCCTGAAAACTAATAAGGCGATTTTCTTGAAACAACTGCGTTCGAGAGCGACAAACTGGCACGGTCGCGAATACGTGGTATAATGACAGTTATCCAAGTATGCAAATCCTTGAAAATCAACACATTGTGTATGAGCTAATAACCACCACTGCAGTTGGAGGGACAGTGACGGAGTTTGTGGTGGGAGAGGATGGAGTGTTGAGCTGGTCTCCTCCAGTTC